GGGGGGGGGTCAGGAGTGAATCATCAACATGCACCGGCGCGGCGTACGCGGCGCACATACAGAGATGTTAACCGTACTCGTTCTTCTCATTCATGCCGCGTTTTCGTCGTCGTCGCGGACCTCCAGGGCGGCGTCGAGGACGGGGTCGGGGAGGACGACGAGGACGAGCCCTGCGTGTGACCGGCCCGGGGGAGTAAAGCAGCCGCGCACCACGCAGCGCCACGCCACATCGGGCGGGTCATAACAGCAGATAATTGGCAAGCGGACCGCATGCCGAGTGGTTCGTCATAAAGGAGAGGAGCAAAAGAGGGAAGTGCAGCAGCGTTGCGCGCGGGCAGCAGCAGCAGCAGGCGGCCGAGCCGCGCGGCGACAGGTACGAATCATCTCTCACCTCAAAACCGGAATTTATGACCGGAGCCAACGCCGCCGCCAGCCGCGCTATGGAGGGTCCTCCACTCTCCGTGCGCTCCCGCTCCGAGCCGGAAAGGAGGGAGAGAGAGAGAGTCGTGGAGAGCGCTGCTGCTGCTGCTGCTCCTCGAGAATGAAATGGCCCTCCTCCACTCGGGTATGGAAGAGAAGGGGAGCAATGACGGGGAGGGTCATTTGTCAATCAGGACAGCGGGGGCCTAAACCAGTATATGCGGCGATAACGCTGACCAGGCATTGACACACTCACACGCACAATCACACACACACACACACACGCGGTCTGATGAAGAGTGCCTCAAAATGGAACGGCACCAACCACCGGCACCACGGCCGAGTCCCACGGTCCCACCCGTGGGGCAGCCCGGGGTCTGCACGGAAAGGGAAGGGAAGAGAAAATAAATACGAAAAAAAGGACAAGCAAGCGTGCAAAGGCAGGGCAGGACAGGGCACGGCAGGGCCGCCCAGCAGAGGTGGTGTGGGTGCCAGGGAGGAGGCGGGGGGGTCCTCATCTGAGCGATAAGAAAGCAGCAGGGATGAAGGAGGAGGGACCGGATGTGGAATAGCACCTGCGATACTTCTACTAGTACACACACCCTTCATCGGCCCCGAATGCAACGAGGTCATGGGCGGGGCACCCCGAGCAGAAGAGATGAGTATGCCGAGGTCCTGGGTCCACACACACACACACACACACACACACACACACACACACACACACACACACACACACACACACCACAGGTGTGCCGCCGTATGCACCCCGGGCCTGAGAAACACCCATACAAGCAGCAGCGGCAGCACCACCGGCGGCAAGGAGAAGAGAGGAGGCACCTCAATCCACAAAAAGAAGCAAGTGAGGGAAAGAGATAAAGCATGCGGGTGGAGCGGCGGCAAGGGGAAAGGGAAGAAGAGGGGAGGGGGTGGGGGGGACCGGTTCTCAGCAGCGCACCACGGCAGTACACATACAGCGTATGCAACCGACAAAAACTTTTTTCCATCCGCGCCGCGACGGTTACACACACACACAAGCGCGCGCGCGCACACACACACACACGGTGGTCACCGGCGGGCGGCCAGTCAATTTCATTTCCAGACAGGTTGCGAGTGCTTGTGTGTGCGTGTGTGTGTATGTGAGAGGGACGGGCGTATCAGCAGCAAAACGAAACATACAATGTGCAGCGCCCAAACCAGAGGCAGAAGCGGCCGGCGGCGCCCCGCGAGGGAGCGGGAGGGGGGTAAGTAAGTAAAGGATACCCACGACTGCAGCTGTCTGTCTCCCTCCCTCTCTCTCTCCCCCCTCACTCCCTCCCTTCACCAGCGCGACCGATACACAGTCGGGGCCGTCGTACCAAGCACCGGGCGCTTCCGACCACATTTCATTTTTAGGGGACACAAAACTGCGCTGCCGCCAAGCGCCACCCCTCGCTTCCCCGCCCCGCCCCGCCCCGCCACCGCGGCACACAGGAGTCCCCCAAAGGGGCGCGGCGCGCTCGCTCACTTCCCCCTTCCGCCCAGACACACACACACACACGCACACGAGGCCGGATAAAGAGCAAAGGAAAAAGAGAGGCAGACGATAAACAAAAGATTTCCGCGAATCTGGCGGCAGCAGAGCAGAGCCCCCCGGCGGGTCGGCTTTCTTTCAGCAGGCCGGATATCGACCTCGCGCTGCACACTGGCCGTGCCATCCGGCTGGGGCTGATAAAACGCGACAAAAGTGGGCCGGCCCAAGAAGTATGGTACAGTACACACGTCAAAAACGAAAAAGTAAAGACAAAAAAGCTCAGAGGGGGACGATTTTAAGTCTCAAAGAAAATTAATGAAATTTATTATGATGAAGCACGCGGGCGGCTTGACAAGTGTCGCCCTCATGACGTGCCTGAGCCCCGCGCCCCTCCCCTCCCCGCCCACAAAGTGCTCGCTGCGGCAGCCTGCAGGGCCTGCAGCCATGGAGCGGAATACAGTAAGTCCCTGCCACTGCTGGCCACTGAGACCGACACAGACCGGCCGCGGTAACGCAAAAAAAACAACAACAACTCGGTGTAATATCGTAGAATGAAAAGGTGTGCGAGTGAGCGGCGCGGGGCAAGAGAGAAAAATGACGGGGAGCAAAAGAAGAGAGGGATCCATCTAACGAGCGTGAAGCGGTTGCAGCGGCGGCGGCACGGCCATTGAGCGTAAAATGGAGGGAGATGGTGTTGTACGCACCGCCGGTGCATTTAGGCCCCAACAACAGCGGGGCCGCACGGGCTGAGGAGGAGCCTGACCGGCAGGACAAGAAGGACACCCGGCGTCCGTTTTTTTGTGCCCAACTAAGGAGGTAATAAGGACCGCGATGATACAGTTCCTCGCCCCACTGCGCCTCCTCCTCATCATCATCATCTGGGCCGCGAGCAGCACGCGAGCGACAGGGCGGCCGGCGCGGAGGAGCAGGAGCGGGAGGACCAACCACACCATTTTCATCAGAGATCGTGTCCCACAGCACACACTGCTCTCGCTCACACGTTCACTCCACGTGTGTGAGCACTGCAGCACGTTATGTGCGCGCGGGTGCCGCCACCGCCGCCCCCGGGGCCGCCGTTTCCGTCCCCGCTGCCAGGTTGCGCCCCCTCTCCACATCCTGCGCCCGCCCCCGCCCGCCCCCCGCTCGCAGCAGTCGGTGCACGCGGCTAAGGGAAGCAGAGCAGCACACAGAGGCTGCTCCTCCGGGGCGACGGGATTTCCCATACGTGATAAATGAGGACGCGCAGGTCCATCCCACGCACGGCAGCAGCAACTGGCAAATGGAGGGCAGGATGGAGGGAGGAGGGGGGAGAGGAAAAGACGCGCGAAGAAAATGGGATTTGCGCTGCCGGAGCTATTATTTGCATTCCGGATGATATTTCGCGTGAAGCCAATATGTTTGCGCAAGGTCGTTACGAAGAAGGCGGAGGGCGAGGTGGTGGGGGAGGAGGGGACGTGGTGATGGTTATCTGCTTCGCGCGCTGAGCCTAAGGATGAGGATGAGGAGGATGAGCAGGAACCCTGACCCCTACGCGCGCCCGCGCGCGCGCACACACAGCACGGAGGAGGCAGGGGTGGGGGAAGAAAGCGGGTGCATGACCTCAAGGAGGGGGGGAGCGTCTCAATACATGCGGAGGCAACAATGGAGCAGGGGCCATGCCTGTGTGCGAGTGCGTGCGTGTGTGTGTGACGCTGAATGCACCCCCGGCATACCGTGCAAATTTAAAACTCCCCCCGGCCGGCCGAGCAGCCTGTGCTGGCATTGGCAGGCAGTAAGGCGAGTTTGCCTCCCTCGGAGCTCAGGCTCTCCCTCCGCACACACACACTCACACACACACCATGTCCGATCGCCAGAGGAAAGCCACCACCCCCCTCCCCCATAAATAAAAAATACACTCTCGCTCGCGCCTGCAACGTGACGGTGTCACCATCAGCAGCTGCTGTCGCTCGCTGCTTGCAGGCTGCTGCAGCAGCCTTACACACACGAGAGGAAAATAGAAAGCCATTCCGTTCGGGGTGTTACACACTAGGGGGGTTTTACTTACCGGCCAAGTGAAGTCGAAGGGGAAGCGGATGGGGTTGCTAAAGCCATCAGTGGGCTGCAGCGCGTCCATCTGCAGCGAGTTGTCGCCGAGGACGGGCGTCACGATGTCGCCGAAGGTGCAGGGGCTGGTGGTGTCGACGCGCGCCTGGTAGTGCTTGAGGCAGACGCGAAACCGCGTCCGGCACGGGGCCGTGCACGTCTCGGCGCCCGTCTCCCCAGAGCAGCACTGCCCCACCGCGTCCTTGCCGTAGTCGTTGATGAACGACTTGAGCCGGAGCTCGAAGACGCCGGACGCCGACACCTGCGTAAGCAGCGACAAACACATGACAACAAACCCTACACAACACACACACACACACACTCGTCACACGACTGGCTAGATGGCTAGATGGATGACTGGACTGGATGGCTATGGTCGGACGACGAAACCGCCATAAAACTGAAAATAGATGAAATGCTCGCTTGTCCGGAGACTCGTAAGCCTCCCCGGGGACACATGTCCGGCACATGCCCAATAAAACGGTCGGCACGCCGCCTCGCCGTCGCCTCGCCCGCTGTTGTTACCCCCACCCCTTGTCCGCCCCCGCGCCCGCCCGGCCCGCTCCGGCTGTCCGTCAGTCCGTCCGCACGGAAACTGTGTCACATCTGCCGAGTTGCCTAGCGGGTTCGCCGTCCGTCGTCGTCCTGTCAGTCACCCCAGCAGCAGCAGCCACCCCCTCCCCCGCTCGACCAGAGAAGGTGGCCGCGGCGACTCGGTCCGCGAACCCCTCGAGGCCACGCCGCCTACATACACAAGTCTTCCATATACGTTGCCACCCACCGCCAAATTTTCCAGACTCGGAGGAGGCGGCACCCCGTGGAGCCCCCGCACCGCACCCGCACGGCCCGCGGCGGCGTGTTCACACCTCCGGCGCCGCTCCAGGCATGCATGAGGAATGAACGCGGAATTAGCATGGCCACGCTAGGGCCCCACCACCACCCGCCCGGGCCGCACCACGCCGCGCCACGGGGGCCCCGCACCGCCACGCCACGCCGCGGGGGCCACCCAGCAGCTGGGGCCTAACTCGCATCGCGTGCGGGCGGTACCGCACCGACACGTAACCACCGAAATACTATCGGAGAGTACAATGGACCCCGACGAGGAGGCCGCGCCGCGAGGACGCCGCCGCCGTCGTGCGGGGGCGGACCACGACTTGCCGCGCGGACTGTACGGCACATGCACACACAGCAGCGGGGCCGCGAGCACGCAGCGCACGCACCGGGACAACTATTGACTAATGACAACAGCGCCTGCCTGGCGGGGCCTGGCGGGGTCACCTACGACCGGCCCGCCGTGCCCCGCCGTGCCGCGTCAGCCTGCCAGGCCGGTCAGACACAATACACGGTCGCCGCTGCTGCTGCTTGCGCGAAGGACACGCATTCCCCGAGAGCAGGGCAGCGAATTCAAGGAGAGGCGAGCGAGGAGAGGCTGTGCGCGGGGCGGGGCCGCATAGGTAAGGCAAGAGAGAGATAGAGAGAGAGAGAGAGAGGACAGATAAGGGAGACAAGGTGGGGCACTGGCCATTCAGTCAAAAGAAGCGATACCTCCCCCCTCCCCCCGCACCTCTCCCCCTCGCTTCCAACGACCTTCCAAACCACGGACAAAGACGAGGCGACCCTGTGCTACGACGGCTCCGGCCAACCCTCCTCCCCCCACCTCCTCCTCCTCCGTCGTCGCCGCCGTCCCTGGGAGTGCAACAGCTGCAGGCTGCCGGCCACTGCCGACAGGGGCGGCTCAGGACGGGGAGAGAGGCAGAGGGGAGGGGAGGAGAGGTTTGCCGAATCATCTGATCGCAAGACTCTCTGCACTGCGGGGTGAGGAGGGCGCCGCTTTTGTTTACAGCAGCCGGTCATCTGTTCGCCTATCATTAGCGGCCATCTGCGAGCGCATTTTACCCCGTCCTGCCGACGGGCAGCCGCCGCCGCCGCCGCCGCCGATACATTTGAAAGCCTTTTGCCGACGGCCGGTAAGAGAGCCGCCCAAAGCCCAGAGGGGCGGTGGCGCCACGTCGGCTGCTGCGGTAGCGTCCAGAGCTGCAGCAGACGACACGAAATTGGACGCCCCCCGGGCACACCGACAGTAGGCGGCCGGCCCGGTCTCTAACAAGAAACGAGTGCGCCCCCGTTGCGGTCGCCCCCTTCGGCGGTGCTGACAGAAAAAACGTACGGGTATGTACCACTTAGAGGCGATAAGCTCAGGAAGAGGAGACCGGCCGGGGTATTTGCTCCGCGCGCGGGGCGTGGAGGGGCGGGGTGGGGCTGACAGCCCCGCGGGCCGCCGGCCCAGGCAGCACTTGCAGCGCCCGTCTTTTGCGGTAAGGCACGGGGCGTGGCGGGGCGTGGCCGCGGCGCCGGCCGCCGCTCCTTTGAAAAGCGCCGAGGAGCAGGAGAAGGATTCATCATCGTCCTGCTCCCGCTCCTCCTCCTCCCGGATCGGTAGCGAAACCGTCGGCAAGCAAAATACCACCACACTGCACTCTGCGCAAAGGACTTTACTCAGAAGCGCAGCAAGGCGGGAGAATGAGCGAGTCGGGAGGAGAGAAAAGGAGAGAGATCCATGCAAGAAAACGGGTCGGCGGCGTCGGCGGCGGGTCAGCCCGACTGTTGTCCGAGCCGCACCACCAGCACTACATGTAATGAACCGGGGGCCTAAAACCACAGCGGTCAGCTCAACCGCCAGACCGCATTACCGATGCAGGGCAATTTGAAAAATCATTCTGATATTACCAATACGCAGCCGGGGCAGCGGGGGGGATCCATTTCCTTTTTCACCGCGTTCGTCGCGCGCAAGCACCACCACAGAGGCACGTACAAGACGGCGGGGAACAGCATCGAGGCGGCCAGGAGCAGCAGCAGCGCCGCCACGGCCGCACATAGGAAATGGAGAGGCCCCACCGCACCCCGCAGCACCCTGCCCCGCCCCGCCACGCCCCGCCGCGGAGCGCCCTGCACCTCCCATTCATACAGCAACTCGGGGAGATTGAAAAGTGTAAAACAGGAGGAGTGCGTGTGTATAAAAAGAGGAGGGTGGTGGTGGTTGTTGGCAATCGCGGGCCCAACTGCACTCCATTTCAATCCGCCCGACTACTGCTCTGCCATTGCTGCCGTGAAAACGCACACACTCGCCCATTCACCACCGGCGGGTCTCTGACTTGCACCCCATACAGACAACGCCGCCCCCAGGTCCCCTCTCCCTCTAACGCATTGAAATACGACCCGCCCCCCTCGCCCCACGACGCACCCCACCCCATCCCCCGGGCGTTACAGCCATTCACCGCGACCAGCGATCAAAGCAAACGTTAACGTTATGACTGTCACCGCCGCGCCGCGCCCCGCGCCCCTACACCGCCATAAATAAGAGACGAGCCAACGCCAGCCAGCGACCCACTCCAATAATAAAGAATTATTTTCCAACCTCGGCGAGAGAGGAGCCGCCAGCAGAAGCGCGGTTCTAACTCATCCCCACAACGCGCGCTCTCCGCACCACTCTCTCCCCTTTCGGTTCGGAATTAATATTTGAACGCGCGGCTGCACCGGGGGAGCTGGCTGCCCGGCGTGGCGAGGCGTCGCGGCGCCGCCGCCCGGTGCAGCCATCGGCAGGAGCAGCAGCAGCAGCAGGGTGCGGGCGACGCGCGGCCGCTTCAAACCGCCAAACCAAGCCAAGCGAGCCGAGCCCGGCCGAGGCGAGCCGCGCGCGCTGCCCCGGGGGAGGAGGGGTGGACGGGACGGCGGCGCTCACCCTCCCGGCCGGCCGCGCACCGGCACGCTACACTACAACACCGCGGCGACCGACAGCGTCTCGAGCGCGTCGCGACGCCGTCGACGCTTCCAATAAAACGCCCCATCCTCGGGCTTTCCTATCGCATCGGAACGGTTCCGAGTACTCCCCTCCTCCGCCCCGCGGTTCCCACACACCCTCGCGCCCCTCGTCCTCCAGGGGCCCCCGCCGGCCGGTGCCCGCCAGAGCAGATCGCGCAACAACGCCTGACGTTTCGAAAAAGGATTCCCTCTGCTAGGCCTTTGAAAACTGAGTCCTATGATGCCCCCCGGGCCGTGCCGAGCTACACCACTGCACGGTCCACTGTCCAGTCCATCCAGCCAAGCGTCAGCCGACGACAGCGCGACACTTGGACGCGATCGCAAAAGCCAGTCGTGTGTGTGTGTTTACTTCCGATGACAGTTTTGCCGCTCCGCTACTCACCAGCTGAAGAGTCGCGAGCACGATGAGCAATCCATGGTTGGTAATCCACATCTTGCGAGCTGAGGTGTTCACTCACTCTCGGTCAACTTTTTTCTTCCCGGAAGAGAATTAACGGCGAAAGCGAGCCATTAATTCCGCCGGCACATCAGCACTTTATTCCAAAAAATGGGGCGAACGTGGTGGTATCCACAGGCATCAACAACACATGTTGCGACGTCTTTTGCACTTTTTGGGGGGCCACACCACAGCACTCACTGAAGCACTTTAAATCACTTTAATCCAAGGCGAGGTCGTTGGTTGATGTCGGCTTGACTTGTCATCACTGAAGAACACTCACACTTCACTCGCGAAACACTTTTTATTTTTCACTAAAGAGCGATGTGATGAAGTCGTTGTCGTAATCGAAGTAATAATCCAGTGCACAACAAATCACTGTCAAAAACACGGCGACGGGACGAGAGAGAACACGAAAAATATTACTTGCAAAAATAAATTAGCTAGTTTACAAAAAACTTGGTTACTGACAACAATGTCCGTCGCAAGCACGCTTGTCACAGTTACACACACGCAGCTCGCACACACGCACGCATGGTTCTCCCTCCGCGCCTGTTAGCCGACTGACAGGACGGACGCGAGGCAAGGCAAGGCGGCGGGCGGCCGGCCGTGCCAGCCGGCTGGGAGGAGGGGCAGGGGGCGGGGGAGGGAGGCGAGGAGGGGCAGCCGGCAGCCGCGCGGGCGCGCCTGGCGGGGGGAGCCGCAACTAACCGAGCCTCCGCCGCGCGCCGACCGGCCTACAGATGGCGCAGCGGTCGGCCCGGCTCCGGGGCGCGCACCGCGAGCTCCGCGGGCTGGGCTCCGCGCAGCAGGCCCTCCACCACCACCCTCCCGGACCGGCTTGGAGCGGCTCAAGGAAGGGGAGCAGGAGCCTTTCGCAAGGGGTTGAGGGCGAACGAGGGCGGTGTGGCTACCGGGATTTCGGCTCTCGCCTCCCCCTGGACTCCTCTGCTCCCGGACACCGTTCGACGTAGTGCAGGACCAGGGCGACGTCGACGATGAGGAGGGGGAGGAGGGAGGAGAAGAGGGGTGGGGGAAGCAGAAGGAGGCCATCGAGACACCAGGCGCGGTGGTCGGTGGCGCGACGGCCGCTCCAGTGCAGCGAGCATGTGAGCCCAGCTGTTACATTGCGAGGGGTTGAAGTGCACCCCAGTCGGGGGTGGGGGACGGAAGGGGAGGGGTAGATTGGGGCGGCAGTGGAGCTACCCGGGACGCGCGCGCGCGCGCCGAAGCGAAGCGTGTCATGAGCTCGTTCTCCGCCAACGACGCCCATCCCGAGTTACTACCTTCAACGACTACACCTCCTTCCCCGCCCTGCAGTAACATTTCTGTCGTGAGTGACACTCCGCAGGGATCCAACACGAAAGGGTACAGCACTACATGGACGGCTGCTGAAGTGGCGACGACGGGTGGCAGAGAGACAGCGGTGGTGTCCAGTGGCTCGGCGCTGCTCTCCTCCCCCGCGTGCACGCGGCCGGCGCGTGTCCTGCACGCGCCTCCCTCGCGGCCGCGCCACGCCACGCCACTCCAAGGTGCGCGGGAAGGGGAGCAGCGGTCGCGAGGTGAGCGGCAAGGGAGAGGGGGTGAGGCGTTGCGGGGGTGGCCCGGGGCACACACAACAAAACGAGACGCCTTGTCTCGCCCGGTCCGGGAGGCGTCGCGCGCGGGGGCGACCGGGGGCGGCCGGAGCCGAGCCGCGAGCCCCTCCCCTCTCTCTCCCGCCACCTACGCGACGCGACGCGCGGCCCTGGCCTAAAGCAAGCGCGCTAGTCCAGCGAGCGTTATGCAAACAGTGTGTGGCGTCGGGTGACGCGCGTCCTCCTCAGTCGGGCACTACATTTGCGCAAAAGCGAACGCAAAAGGGAGCAACAAAAAAACAAAACTGGAGCGCTGCGCGCGCTCATGCGGGCGCGCGCATGAGGCAAAAGACAAGGAGAAGAGAAGGGGGTTCGGAGAGAAAGGATGACCGGAAAACGCGCGCTGGAATGCTGCCGGGGTGAATTTTTAAAAGGCCTCCCCTCCCCCATCTCTCTCGCTCTCCCTCTCTCCCCCTCGCCGCCACCCTCCTCCTCCTTCTTCCCCCGGATACGCGATCCAGAA